AATTTCATATGGTAAAAAATTATTTCTAATATGCTGTTTGCCATCTAAACTTTAGTAAGGGAACTGTTCCACCCTCCTCTTTGTTTCTTCTGCATGTGGCATGATGACTGGCATATGCCAGATGCCCAACTAATGCTTCCTGGATGAGCGAGCACTGTTAGATGAGTTTTTGTGTGCCGCCTGTGCCAGTATGTTGCTGGCTCCAACACAAAAACAAAACCAAATCCAAGACTGCTGTAAAGTATCTTACACATTTTCATCTTAGCCAAGCCAAGCTCCAGATGTGTCTGTGCAGGTCAAGCAGAGCAGAACATCTCAGAACATGCGGGGAGTGGGGGAAGCTAATCGTTTAGAAAAACTACCTTTCTGGCAGGAGAAATAGAGTCAACAGTTGATGGAGAGGAAGTGGCAGCTGGATCAGGAGATGGAAGGCAGGAGGGAGAAGACGGAGGATGAGTATGAGACAGGTCTTTAGAGAGTAGTTTATTCTGCACAGAACAGAAACAGAGGAAACTATGATTATCCCTGGGGAAAAGCACAGTGATGCTCGCCTTGGTGATGCGGCCCCATGCCTGTGTATTCAAGGAGGGGAAAGACGTCCAGGCCTGTGCCTCAGGACAAAATAGTAGCCTCTGACTTCGAGGCTGGGCAGGACTGTCTGGCTCCTGGTTCCATTTTCTGCTATAGTTACAACTATTGGAATAGTTACAACTATTCTAACTCCCTTGTCACTCCAAAACAGCTGGAGCAAAACCATGCTGTTCTCGCCTGTGTCTGCCACAGACACCAGCACTAACTATCGAAGTCCTCACTCTGGAGCTTGGTATGAAGCGGCAGCTGCAAGCTTAGGAAAGAAGAATCCTGGGCCACTTTAGGGCAAGCAGGTGGCCCCAACTGGGGCCTCTGTAGCTGCAGACAACTGTGCCAGCTTCACGGAACCTCACGAACTAAATAAATGCAAATCATCCTCCCCATGTCAATGACGCTGAGTAGCAGAGGACACAGGTCTGGAGGAGATTGAGTGAAAGAAGCAGAAGTTTGTTCTAGAGGCCAGGCTTGCCGCAGGCAAGGAGCACCTGACACATACAAGCAGCATGGGACCTCATATCGATTCTTTCATCTCCTTGGAAGCACCACTCTTCTTTTCAGCAAGTTTCTAAGTAAGTAAGTACCTGCCTTGGAGGGGGCTGTGCTTCGTATGCTAAGGGAAAGCCATTTTTCTTGGCTCAATGCTGCCTTTTGGGAAAGCAGTGCACCGGTTATGGCACATGGTTGACTTCCCCATCTGTGTCTCTCTGATCAGGCCATGGGGAGATGCCTCCATCGTGCCCCAAAATGTCATGAGCAACTGTTTTGCTTTCACCTTAAAGGCACTGTAGTGTGATTCTTGCAACCGACCAGCTTTCTCTCTTTTGTATCGACCCTTAAGTTGAGATCCTGTTCAGAAGCCATCTGGCATCTAACAGCATGTGTTTCTGTTCAGTAACATTTTCCTTTGATCTGAGCCTACTTTTCTGCCTTCATTGTCCCTTTGTCCTGATTTATCTACCTATTTTGAATGTTCTCTTTGAGTTTTTTTAGACACTAACTTGCATTCTTTAGTGGCTTGAAACATGAATTGTGCCTCATGCTGTAAAAGCAGGAGGAAGGAGGAAATGAAGCTCCAGAGACGGACTTACAGTTGCCTCACTGGAATGTCAATGTCTGGGTTTCTGGGGGGACGGAAAGCCCCGTTTACCTGCGGGAAGTCCCCATGTCCAAACATGGAGGCAAGGTGAGCCGCTTTCTCCTTAATGTTCTTTTTGTGAAATTCCCTGTTGGCCAAGTTCTGAGCCCTCTTCTGCAGTCAAAGTGAGAAAGGAGAAAGAAAAAAGAGAGAGTGACAGGGACTGGGATGGCTACCTCCAGGGGAGGAGGCGAGAGGCAGTCGGGCAGGCTTGTCTCATTGTCTCACCACACACGGGACTGGACGGGACACAGGGTGTGGACAGCAAGAGAAGGAACCCGCCCTGGGCCAGTGGAGGGAGAGGGGGAATGGAAGGCACCGCAGACTCGGGCGCAGGCAGGGCAAAGGGCGAGGCTTTCACCTGGAGAATCTTCTCCTCCACTAGCTGCAGCCGCCGCAGCACCCCAGAAAGGGCCAGCGCTCCCTGGCAGGCAGGAGGCAGGGCAGCACGGTTTTCTGGGCCCCCCACCTGCAGGTCAGACTTGGCTCTGGCTCTCCAGGGCCGGCTTGGGCACTCTCCACCAGCAGACACTTGATTTAGCTCTCGAAGCACATGCCCTGTCGCAACCACCGAGGGGAACTGGGAGAGAAGGAAAATCAAGCTTCCTTCCCTACTGTGGCCCTTAAATAATCTAACACGAGGAATCCCCATGAGGACCAATGACCACCCGGAGTAAGATTCCAAACTAACCTCAGGCGTTGACATTTTACCACCTGCATCAGAATCACCTGTCATCCTCCTTTTATTTATTTTTAAAAATATTTTCTTTTTAAATTAAGTTTATTCGAGTAAGATTGGTTACTAACACCCTCCTTAATGACATCCTCCTTAATGACAGTCTTGGGCTTTATCCCAGACCCACTGAATCAAAACCAGTACAATCCTGGTTATCAATCCTGACTGCACACTGAGATCACCTAGGGCAACTCTTAAAAAATAACTCAAGACTGGGCCTGACTTCCAGAGATGCTAATTTCATTGGTCTTGGGGTGGGCACCAGATCTCGTTGTTTGTTTTTTTTTCTTTAAATACCTATTTTTAATTGAAAAAATAAATTGCTCCATAGGTAATTCTTACACACACAGACATAACATCACTGCCTTACATCTGCGCTGACCTTGGTCGACCTCCACCACCCAGAAGCAACACAAAGTTTCTCACGCTGATCAGACATCTTTGAATGCTGTGGTTAATAACAGTGATTCTGTTCAAATTCCAAACCCAAGAGGCTAGCTGCAAAGGGCCACAGCTTGCGTCTCTGTCCACCAGACAGGTCCTCGTCTGCTTGGGCACCAGGAGAGATCTGCGCCACATTTCAGCCTTCCCCCTTTAAGGCGTGCAGCCAATCAGCCACCTGAGCCCATTCTACCATCACCGCCACTTTTTCATTCGATTTAGAAATCAGCCTATTTAAGTGGCCTGCAACTAAAGCTAAGTGTTCCAGGGGCATCAGACAAAACAGACCAAAGACCATGTGGTGTGGCCTGTTTTTCCCCAAGCAAATAAAACACCGAGAGCATAGCAGTTGGTCAGTTGATATTCCTGATTGGCTGATGGCATATATTTCAAGATGCTGTATACCTATACGGGTAGTGACCTTAAGTTGTGTCTGCCTTCCTGGAGAATCTACAGTTAGCCCTGAGGTATGCAGAAGGCCATGGAGCCCACCCCTCTGTATCAAATACCCCATCCACTGGAAGGAGCCCTACCTGCCTTTTCAGAGGTGATAGGGTGGGTGTGGGCTCCTCCGGCTTGAGACAGCGTGAGTTAACAGGAGGGTCAGAAGATGAGCACAAGACAGGCTTACCTATCCCTGAGACACGGCGTTCCTGAGAGGAAGGTGAGTCCAGAAAAGCAGCAGCAGGAAACATGAAGAGAAAGGTAAGTCAGACTGAGATACTTGGAGGGAGGAGAGGAAGAGAGGTGGGGAGGGAGAGTTTCAGGTACAGAGAGAGGGCACTGGGCTGAGCCCCTGTGAGCTGGGCTCTGCCAGGAAACCTGAACCCTGGCGCTCCGTCCACGTGGACAGTAAGTCCTGGAGTCTCCTCCTCTGGGAGGCCTTGCTTTTGGCTCAGACCTGGGGCACTGGCAGGCACGGCCACAGCCCATGCCAGGTCAGGGCGGCCAGGCCTGAGTCCTCCTGGAAATGGAAAAAACTCCTGCTCACTAGAGGACGAGGGTGCTACAGTCCTTCTGATGGAAGACAGACCTTGGCAACACTTGGGGGCCCACAAGTGACCAAGCCTCCAGAAGGCGCAATTGAGAAAGAAATTCAGTTATGAGTCTCAGGAAAATGGCCCCCTTATAATAAAACCTGGCTTTCTGGGGAAGGCTAGTTTGTCCCCAAGGGCCATAGTCCACATCAAGCCCAGGAAGATGCCTATGATCACCTCTAAACCAAGAGTCTGTCCTCTTCCTGAGGAGAGCCTAATTCTATCATGTGACAGATGTCCTCCAAAGAAAAATAAAAACCCCTTGTCCCAAGCTTAGGTAGTGTGACAGTGGTATCCCAGAGGAATTCAGGGGAGCAAACTGAACCACACAGCAAACTCCGAGCCAGAGCTCAAGAGAAGTCAGCTCAGTCTGCTGCCTGATACAGCTCTGACTGCCTTCAGCCTCACACGGACTCTGGTCAGACACACAGCCCTGCCAGCCTGACCCAAGAGAATAAAAAGAGGGACACCATGAAGATATTTGGGAAGTTGGCCCCCATTCCTGCAGGCTCACAAGGAACTAAGACCTTTGACTCAGTTTCCCCTTGTATGGACAGACTTCTCACCATGGACTTAGGGATCTCCCAGGTATCCAGCACCTCTAAAGCTCCCTCCAGCTGTACCATCTCATAGATGGCTGCAAACCAAGTCATTGTTGCAAAACAAAACCAAATTAGGGAAGGATTTCTTCTCCAATGCAGAACGAGCATCAACAAACTATGGTCCTTGGGCCAAATCTGCCCTGCTGCCTGTTTTTAGAAATAAAGATTTATTGGAATACAGCCACACACATCGTTTAGGTATTGTCTGTGGCTGCTTTCATGCTACAATAGCAGAGTTCTGAGCAGCTGCGAGAGAGATCAGATGACTCCCAAAGCTTAAACTATTTGCTATCTTGTCCCCTTTAGAAAAGTCTGTTGACTCGTGATCTAGAAGAAGGTTCACTTGAGCTGGGCCTGGCTGGTATACCTGAAATCCATCACCAGCCTGAACATTTCTTCTGGCTTCTCAGTTCTGGTCACCAAGAAGGCAGGTCCAGTGAGCATTTGATGGGACTCACCTGCTTCAGGAGTGAGGGGTTCCGAGAGCTCTCCTCGAACTTGGCCAGCAGCTGACTTGCCATGGACTTGACTTTGTTCTGATTTCCACCTTCTTTACTGCTGCCTCCCTCTTGATTGGAGCCCAAGCTCCGGCTGGAAAAGCCTGAAAGCTGCAAAGGCCAAATCAGTGCATTGATTTTTGGGTCCTGAAACCTAGATATCAGGGATGGGCCTGGTGGCTGAGGTCAGGGGACCAGTTTCCTAAAGAAGAATGTCCTCTGTGGCCTGAGGAAGGAAGGCAGAAGCCCAGTGGAGACAATGCTCTCAGGAGGGGACATATCTTCCCAAAGACAGGCACACCCATGCTTGGGAGCCAGACAGTTAGGGTTTGAATCTTGACTCTTTTATTTCCCAGCCCAGTGACCTGAGCAATTTAACTTCTCTTAAGTTTCCTCATCTGTAAAGTGGGACTATAACACACTTCATGTGGTTGTTGCAAAAATCAAATATAATAATGAAGTGGTATGCAAAATGGTTTTCAAAAATACATCATGTGACTGTCAAGAATTATAGAGTAGAGGGGATGAAAGAAGCAAGAGGGGTGTCAGTCAGGCAAGGCAGACTTTGGGCTCTCTCTTCTGTACCCCACTCTCAACTGCAACCTGTCCTGTTCTTGGTTGCTATCTTTAAAAAAAAATTTTTTAATTTTAAACGAATTTTAGATTTATTGACAAGTTACCGAGATAGCACAGATGGTTCCTGCATACTCTCCTTCACCTGGAGGTAATGTTAACATCTGGAGTAATCATGACGCTTAACATCACTAAGAAATTAACCTAGGCACAATACTATTAACTATAGACTTGATATCAATTACAGCAGTTTTTCCACTAATGGTCTTTTTTGGTTCCAGGGTACATCCAGGATCCTGCACTGCAATTAGCCATCATGTCTCCTTAAGATTCCTCCCATCTGTAAGTTTCTCCATCTTTGTCTTTTATGACCTTGACACGTTTGAAGAGGACTGGTCGGCTATTTTGTACAAAGCCCCTCAATCTGAGTTGTTTTGATGTTTTCTCATGATTAGACCAGGGCTGTTGATTTTGGAGAAGGGTGTCACAGAGGTGAAGTGCTCTTTTCATTGCTTTATATCGGAGTACATGATATCGATGTGACTAATGACTGATGTTGGCTGTGATCATCTGGTTATGTCATTTATACAATGGCATTTATGTAAGATTTCTTTAGCTCTTCTGCTAAATATAAAACTTGGAAAATCACCAGTGTTCACTGAATGCCTATTTCCCTTTACCATGGGATCTCCCATTACCTGTTCCCTAGGCCTCAGAAGTGTAAATGGCACTGTCATGTCAAGCCAGCACTCTGCTTTCTCAAGGAGACAATGAATCTCCCTCAGGAACAGACATTCGCAAGACAAGAAAGATGTGTTCACTTAGAAGAAATTCATGGGAGGCAGCAAGCTATCGTCAATTTGGGGGAAAAAAAAAAAAAAGATCCCTAAGAGTAGCAGCCCCATGGGAAACACTGTATGCATAGCTGCTCTGAAGTGTTGGACAAACACAAACCAGAGTCACTCTTCACTTCAAAGCGGGAAATGTAACTCTGCATAGTAATACAGTCTTGAGTGCAAAGAGGGTGAGTTTACTGGGTGGTCACTGTTTGTTCAAGGCCAAAGGCAGCCAGGACAGCGGATCATGCGGATGGCACTTCCCAGACATTAATGTGCATATGAATCACTCGGGGCTCCTTCAAAAGCAGATTCAGGTTCAGTTGGTCTGGGGTGGGCCCTGAGACTCCCCATTCCTAACCAGTTGCCGAGTGATGCCAATGCTGCTCATTCTCGACCCACACTTTGAATAGCAAGAATCTAGAAAGAATTACTGTTTGGTTAAATCCGACTTGGATGCAAAATAGCAGGCCCAGAAAACAGCCCAGAGACATCTTAGAAGGGGCAGGTGCAATCAGATTTCTTCCCTCACCCCACTCCTCTGCTGCCATCAACAGAAAGAGCACAAACATTCCCTCAAATAAGCCACGGATGAAAGGCGAGAGAAGACTTCCACCTGAGACAAAGTGCATCCAAGGGAAGCTTCTTGGGAGGAGGCTGAAGCGAATCATAGGCACCTCAGGTGAGAGCTAACACCTGTAATGGGGGAAATGCGACAGCTCTCCCACTCTGTTAGAAAGCCTCTGCGTCCTCCTCTCCCCCATCTCCCTATCTGCTGGCTTCTGGCTCACATCAGAGCCAAGAAACAGGGAACCAACATCTCCTGAAGGGATCCCCCAAAGAAGTTCTAGAAAAGGGTCAGACTAGGGTGATTTGAACTCAGTAGATAAAATGAGTTTGTGCACATTTTAAGACATGAACTGAACTCCAGGTTTTTGTGATCAGTGTTTTCCTTTGAGCATCCCAGAAAATGGGGTGAGCAATAGGCAGCTCCCCCGAGGTGGACCAGGTGGCTGTCTTTGTTGTAAAGTTCACTGCTGTGAGAACCAGTGTCCTGACCCCAGTCAAGGCGTCCACAAGAAGCAAGTCACAGACATGAACAACAATGTTATAAAAATATACAGCAATAACACCTCTTCAACCATATAAGATAGAAATCTTCTAAGTCCTATAACTCAGGTGTCACTGTTTTATATAAACTCTCTCACGTGCCTCAATGTCAATTATGACATTCGCCAGTCGGCTAGCTAACACTAGCATCCTATAGTTCACTGACAGTATCTGCGCTTCTTTTCGTGGGACTAGAACGGCTTTTTCAAATGAGGTATATATCTCAGGTCTGTTTAAAGAATTGCCTGGGGACTCAGAAACGAAACTCTGCTAATCAATTTTTCAGTAGTAGCCGGAGATCTGTGCTTGGTTTTCACAAAGTAGCCTGTAATTTTATTCTTTCACCAGAAGGTGGCACTTATGGGCACTAGGACATTGGCCTTAAACCCTGAGAGCTCAGAAAACATAAAAAGTAGAAACATGACTGGTAGAAAAGTGGGACAGTGGCGCCTCTTTACTATTTGCTGTTGATAGTAATTATAGATTGATTAACCTAGGTGCCAGATATCAGCATTTTATATAACGTTTTCTTATTTAATCTTTAAAAATCCTGCCTAGTTTCTTAAGTTTCAAATGTATCATCTGTTTTTTACAGACATGAGCTCCACCCTGGGAGATTCTGTTTCTCAAGGTTTCATAGCTAGTAAGTAGTGGAATGAGGATCAGAACCTGTTTTTCCATTAAGCCAAACCTGGAACTCAGTAGCTCATGAGAGAGGAAGGCAGGAAGGGCCAGCGCTGCTGCCATAGCCAGGCGGGCATGTGGCCACTGGCTGTCAGGCAACGGGCCTGCTTAAACTGACACTGTGTGCACACGAACCTCATCCATGTTGATGAAGCCTTTCCGCCTCCGTTTGTTCATGTCGTTATTCTCTTCGGTTTGGCTGTCCACCTGCAATGGCCAAGAAAGCATGGTGAACTCAGAGCCATCAAGGACTGTGGTTCCTCTAATAGCTCTGAGCCAGCACTGGACATACAGCCCTGCCTACCCAGACAACCGGCAGACATAAAATGCCCTGCCCTGTGAGCAATGTGCTCACTAGAGTTCTGTTCAGATGCAATGGAGGAAGCCTCACTCAACCTGGAGAGCCTCAGGTTCTGTCAGAAAGGGGTGGGAATCACATTCCCAATCATGTGGAAACGTCCGGAAGCACAAAGACTCCTTGTGACAGGGCAGGGATGGGCTCCATTGTCAATGCGACCTCGGGCTCAGGGCAGCCAGGCTTGCTGAAGCCCCTGAGGGTGCTACCTTATGGAGACCACCTTCTACAAGGTGACACTGACTCACCTCGCAGGATTCTTGGGACTCAGAGCAGCTGCCCAAGGATTTGATGGTAAATTACGTCTGCCATTCAGTTACCATTACAGCTACTGGCACAATATTTTATTAACTTCAAAGAAGCATCAGACGTGGTCTGAACATGATGAAGAGTATACAGCTCAGTTTGACCAGGACAATTCTGATTTACTGCTTTTTTCCTCCCTTTCACTCTCAAAAGCATCCTGGTTTTGACAATAAATTACACGTTTGCCCTGCTGATAACCCCTTACAGTCTACTTTCTGCTGTCCAAATGTGGACATTTAAAATCTGGAGAAACTCACACTGCCCAAGCTCACTACATTTCCTCTGCAAGGGCCACCGAAGGGCCACCTCTTGTCAGGCTTGTCTCCAGGGAATGAGAGGGACTGCGCAAACTGAGCTGATGCTGTGGCTGGGATGGGTGTGGAGGCCTGGATTTGGTATCTCCTCTGCACCCTGCAGGGTAAGCCCATTCTTGACACTGGGGCTCCACCCACCACCAGTCTCCAGCTGGGGACTTCTCCAGATGGCCAGCCCCCTGAGGACCACAGAATCATCCCCACCAACTACGTATCCCTTCTGCCGGGAGCCTCCTCACCCTTAGAGGGCCCTCCATTGCAGCCCAGATTAAACCCCAGACTTTATTTCACTTTGGATGCAGTAGGAAGGGCTGCTGGCCACTCTCTCCCCTCAAACCTAGGAATATAAGCCCAATCAGTCCCATACATCCTAAACTTGCCCAACCACAAGAAGATTTTCTTTTTAACTTCCCAGTTGTTCTGGAACAATAAATAATTTTGTAGATTATTATATGATAATATGACAATGATATAACAGTAACAACATCGAAGCCCCTAGCACATGGAAAGCACCTGCTTCTCCAGTTCTTATCCTCCCCATCATCCTTGCTCCCTCCCCATATTCACCAGAACCTTTACTATTTTTAAAGACAATATTAACCATAGTTTAGTCATTGCTACTTGTCTAAAAAGTTGACCCATCCCATGCCCAGGCAGCAAAAATCAACGGATCAAAGGTTCCTGCTTTCCCTTCAACATTTCTCTCAGCTTCCAATAAATCATGATTCTGTGAATGGAAATTATTTCAACCCCAGCTCTTGGGCAAACACCAAGAGAAACAGATGACCTTATTTGCAACAATGTTGGGCCTCAGAGGCACAGGCTGTCTGGGCCTCCAGCTACACAGCCTCTGAATGGCTCGCTGGCCTGCAGAGTGGAGCCTGTGAAAGTACAGGATGTCCTACCCAACAAGAACACTAATCTTAAGGTTTTCTGTTGTTTTTTTTTTCTTTCTACCTTAAATGAGGACTTGGCTTCTCCCTCAAAGAGCAACACATCTCTTTTGCATTCAACAGTCCCGGGCGTGACTGTTCCAACAATAGGAGCTTGTGTAGGTAGGTGAAAGCCAGTATGTTAGCCACAGGCACAGAGAGTACTCCTGGGGGAAGTGTGCTCCATGGTGGTGCCTAAGAAGGCCCCAGATCCTTCACGGAGAATAAAGGAAGTGAGTGGGGGCAACCACAGCTTCTCTGCTTCAGCCTGACTCGCAGGACAATAAAATGCAATCTATATGGAAAGGTTAGCAACACAGATACACAAAGCGTCTCTACTCTTCCTTATGGGTTTTTATCATGGAAGCGCTGATTCTCAACTAAGAGCTAGGTTAACACAAAAAGGGGGAGAAAATGCAACTTGAAGATTTACCTAATTTTTTATCTGTATATCTCTATTATGGGATCCAAAGTTGCCTCAGTACCCTTATCTCCTTGAGCTGTATTTGCTTTACAAATAATTGAGGTACAAAGAGGAAGAAAATACTTATTGTGCCTCGTCAGAGAGAGCATGAGACTAAACCAATAACTGATTTTCTTTTTCACCCTAAGAACACTTTCTTATCATGCTTTCCCAAGGATCTAAAAGATTCTATATACCAAAAGGCATTTATTAAACTGGTGTCTCCTTTAAAAAGACATATCTGCCAATCTGATCATTTATTTGATCAGTACAAGATAACCGTGTTCCCACACAGCCTGACTTAATGTGATTTTAGCCCAAAGCAAACAAACTTTATATTTAGTTAGCTAATGTAACCTAATCCTAAAGAAATTTAGATCTGGGTCATAGGGAGAAATTGGCCATTGCAGGCAATGGCCTGGTTGAGTAGGGGAGCAACCATGAAATTTAGAAAGATGGCCAGTGTCACTAGCAAGAGAGCTGTTCTTCAATGACAGAGCAGTAAGGAGTCATGGGTTCGAGTTCTGGTGCTAATTAGTTCCTGGCTGTGTGAACTTAGGAAAATCACCTAACTTCTCTGACTTGTTTCCTCACCTATAAGATATACTATCAAGCTCAAAATTATATGAACTAATGAAATCATGTAGGTACAACATTTCTTATAAAATGTTGTGTAAGTGTTAGACACTGTCACTCAGGTTAATGCTAGGTAACAGAAAATCTGACTTCTAGTTCTGACTTTGACGTTCACCACCTATGACACTGCAATTTAATCTTCCTGCGCCCAAGTTTCCCCATCTGTAAAATTGGGATGAGAATACATTCCCTGTTTTCCTCAGAAGGTAATACCAGGGACAAACGAGATAGGAATCTGCTCTGTGTGAAATGCTGCATCAGTCATGGCTGCAGTACCGAACTAAGTGTTCAATCCAACTACTTTCACTCATCTTTTCAGAAGATGCACATCTTCATTTAATCAGTAGTTATAAAAGACACGACCTGCTATTTATGGAGGCCCTTGCACGTGCCAGAGAAGGTGCTCAGACCTGCAGCACACATTTGTTCATGGTGTCTTCACTGCAATGCAATGTTTATTATTATAATCGTTTTGCAGACAAGCAAAGGAACCTCCTGAGAGGTTTGAACATGTGCTGAATCCCCAGCAGACCTAAATATGTATATGTATCTACCTGGCTACAGAGCACATTTCCATTCTGTAAACCAGCTCAGAATCTCAGGCTGCAGTTGTACAGGATTGAGATCAGCCTGGAAACCACCAGTGCTGGAGGGGCTGTTCATGAGCCCTGTGCTTGCCGGGCAGCATCAAGACCCGGAGCTCTCGACTTTCCTAAACCTTCTTCAGATCTCTGAATCGGTAAGTACTAGAAACCTGGAAGGGAGCTTTGGCTTCTAGGTGGATGGTTCTGTGAAAGCAGGTGGGGGAGGGGAATGAAAGGAACTTGGGAAGCCCCTCTAGAAGGCCAGCTTCCTTGGGCAGGGTCCTTGCTTGTCTTGTTCATGGCTCTACCCCCAGCTCCGAGAAGAGAACTCAGCATAAAATAGGCACTCAGTGAATGTGTGTTGAATGGGTGGATGGAGGAAGTACTTTCTCATATAGCACCTGGAGAGTGTTTGTGGAGGAGGGACAAGGAGAGGAGAGCTGGGAGGGACCCAGATCAGACACTGACTTGAGTCATGCTTTGTGCATTTCACTCTACCAGGCACCAGTGCTGGAGGAGAACCTGGGCCAGAATCAGTCAGCTGAGAAGGATAAACATCCTAGGGCCACTGACTGGGCTTCTGGGCTGGGCTTTTCATGGACAAGTGACAACATCTATGCTGCGTTGTCCTCCAAGGAGTGGGCTCAGGATGGAGAAAACAAAGATCAGGTACCCTGAGTACATATGGAACGTAATATGTGTACTGGCTGAAGTGGTCATAAATGCAGGCATATGTATGTTCAGGCATCACCTGTGGTGGTGCATGGTGATAAGAGCTCTGGAGTCCCCAGGGACTGTGGCTTGCCATGAGGCTCTTAGATGCTGACCAGGATCAGAGGTAGGTCTGCAGAAGTAGACCAAGGGTTTCTTAAGAGGAAAATATAATCCTGAGCTCTCCTTTTCCCAGGCATGGACCATCCAGTCTTCAGAGCTGATCAACCAACCCCAATAGCTACCACTCACCAGAGGGACAACCCTCTCAGTGGATGGATAGAAGAGTTACTCTCTCTAAACGTAAACAAGGTCCTCTGTGGAGGAAAAAGTCTTATTTCACCTAATGTTGATCAGTCTGCCTGGGATTTTGATGTTATTGGAATTAGAGATGAGAGGAAAATTTAACACCTACAGTGAAAACTAGGAGGGAGAAAGATTTTTAAGACAGGCTCAGCGGAGAAACGACAAACCCTCTTCAGATTATGATGCCGCACTGTGAACAAACGTGGGTGGCTCGATTCCCATATCATGATGCCCTCTGGGAGTTAGTGAGGGGGCAGGGAGGGATGGGAGAAGGGAGTGAGCTTGAATACAGATACGCCTATATGTACAAATATTACGTGTGTGCTGTGGTGTAGAATCATGCAAGCATGGTCTGGCCTCCATCTCTAGTCCTAGGGGCACATGAGCTGGGGTACTGAGGGTTGCACACCTATTGGCACTGATCTCTTCTGGGTGTAACCGTAGTGGAGCCTCTGTGTGTGCGCAGTTTTCAGAGTCGCCTGTGTCAACACCCTCTGCGTCCATCCCATGGGAACTGGAGTGGACTCAGGACTCTTGGTTGTGAGAGATGTTAAGACCAAAGAGCATTGTAAATACATTCCCCTAACCAAAAAGTGTCCAGCTACAACGGGAAGGCATGGTCGAATGGGAGGAGGTGCTTTCCATGTGGCGCAATCACTGCACTGGCACTGAGAGTGGACAATATGCTGGGGTATTTCAGAGATGACCAAGGCAGCATGTGACCCATGGCCTTACTGTCATCCCATCCTAAGGAAGCATTCACTTGGTTTTAGAAGAAAGAAAAGGATAAATAACGCCCATGCCATGCACTTACATCAGTGACCTAATCTCTCTACCTATCTGAAGAGCAGGGCAAATTTGGGGCGTTAAGTGGGATGTGTGGGAGGGAGGAGATCTGTGGCTCTTCACCCCTCTGAAGATGGACAGCCCCTGGGCACACCGTGGAGGAGACGTGACATGGTTCCAAATCGGCCAGGGCTAGCCAGGCAGAGCCATCTGCTCCTCTGCATTTCCTAGCAGAGCCAGCGGTGAGTGGAGCATAGAGCAAGGCCCAAGCAGCCCTCAAGGGTCTAACAGGCCTTGTTGACTGCTGACTTCTGACCATTCCCACCTCCTGAGCCAGATCTGGCGTAGCTGTTTCAATTGCGTGACCCCGTAAACAGAGGTGTGGTGAGTGAAAGGTTTAAACAGTCCGCTTCAGTTCCCCTGCTGTTCCCAGTTGTAGGCTATGTGTTGGGAGAAACTGAGTGAAATGGAGAAAGGCAGGAAATGCTTGGTTCAGAGAGCCTCCAGAAAGGCTGCATGGGCTTGCTTGGGCTGAGTGGGGTCCTTGGCTTCAGAGGGAAAAAACACCTGGGCTGGGGTGGAACAAGCCTATGTGCTCTCCAGAAGACAGCTTTTGCTCAGTGGGACATGTGGTGGGTGACGCAGCCCTCCCACAAAGCCTGATTGAAAGCTTGGGGAGCTGAGTGGGACAGAGCAGCTGGGTGCAGCTCAGCCTTTTAGCTGCTCTGCTGAAAACCCTAGCCAACCTGGACACCTTCCTTCCCAGCCCCAGTCTGGCTCGCCCATTCCTTGCTATAAACAAGATGTGGGAGAGCATTAAGTATCCTATTCCGCTCCTGGAGTTAGCACAACTGCTTGCAACATTCTAGAGAGCACAGACCTCAGTGGAAAAAGTGACCACTGCTCCCACAGCTGAGAGAAAGAAAGGCCCAGCCCCACCCTGGGCGGAGGGGCTGGCAGGACATGGCATGACTGGCCAGAGGCTGAGAGACTGTCAGCAGCCTAGAGAGACTGAGACATGTAAAGGCCTGCAGCCCTCTGCAGAGCCAGGGGAGGGCTGCCCTGCTGGTCTGGGAAGGGAAGACAAGTTCTGTGCCACTACTTACAACTTAACATCTCTGGGCTGTTTTTTTTTTTAACCTGTAAAATGAGCACAATAAACAAGATAACTTGTATTATCCCTTCCACAGAGATGCCACCATTCAAATAAAATTATAATTTCTTGTTAGGTTGATAGTTCCCAAACTGTGTACCAAGGCACCTCTGGCACCATCGTAAACTCATAGAGGAGACACAGGATATTTTAAATTTTCTAGGAAACATGATAAAGTCTGTCATATACCTTGCAAAATATCCCTACCAAGTTATTTGGACTTAACTACTTAATAAATGGACTTCTATATATTTCTTTGGATCTAGGAGCACTGAAAAAAATTGCTGAGACACTAGGGAACTGTAAGTTAGGAAAGTTTGGAAACCTCTTTATTAGAATCCTAGTTCTTCAAAGGCAAGGACTATATTATTCATCTCTGTATTTCCTTCTCTCATCAAAAACAAACAAAAAATTCACCCCTAATTTTGGCATACAGTAGGGTTCAATAAACAGTTGTTGAATGATTGAATAAAAAAAAATAATAATGAAACAGAATGTGTACATGTAGCATCACCATATACCCCTACCACTAAACGGCCATTGTGTTCCTGATCTAAATAAACTGCTTAACAAAGTAAGAAATCATCTCCTTTTCCCCACTCAGGAAGCTGAGCTGATCTATCACGACCTTCCTATAACCACTTTTAAGTCACTGAAGCTAGCTACACAGTGCCATGGGAAACTTCCAAAAACATTCAGTTACAATATTGAATTTTACTCGTGTCTTCTGTGAGCGCTTTATCTGTGTAATTTATCAGCATAGACAGACAGCATGACATTCTCCAATCTCCTTGCCCCATTCACGTGCAAAGAGAAATCAAACGAAAACGCGGCTGAGACTTACTCGTGGAGTCCTCTTCCTTGGAAAGGTGAGGTTGAGATAGTTATGGGAAAGGGATGATTTGGCTACGCCGAGGTCAGCATTTTCTCCATAGTTTTTGCTCCAAGAATCTGCCAGGAAGTAAAAGAAGGACTGAGATCTGGATCCTGCCACAGCTACCCTAGAGCTCGGGGAATGTCGTTGCTACAAGGTCCTTCTAAAACCATCTACCCCCCAGCTAAAGGGGTAAACGGCCTGGGTAGGGGGCTGATGTAGCTCTATCAGTGACCTCCCAAGGGAAGGGGTAGATTCCCCAGTGTCACATGGCACCTGCCACACATACCTACTTACACAAGTGTGGGTGGGTGGGGTCTACCCCTAATTGGACTCACAGTCAAAGGGAGGGAAGGCATGGGTCAGCCCCAGAACAGAGGACACCGGTGTGGAGAGCAGCCAGACACAGGCAGAGGGCGGTGATGCCTCAAGGGCCGAGCAAGCCTGGTCGGAAAGCAAATCCTTACCTACAGGCCTCAGCGGGGTGCCCCGGAAGAGCTCATAGAACTTGGAGAGGTACATGACCATACTGAGCTTGTCGGGCTCCTGGGCTGATGCCATCTCTTTGCCTGTGGTCACTGGGGGGATGCCAAACTCACGCTCTGCGACATCGAATGCCAGCTGGTTGTTCTCCACAGCATCATCTTCGTTCAAAGAGTCAAAGTTGCTAGAGAATCAAAATAGGGTGAAATTCAGAGAGAGGAGGCAGAGGCAAGGGGAGGACAAAGGAGCAGTGACCCCGGCCCCTGTCCTCAATCATCTCCCCCGCCCCACTCTCCAGAGACTCAGCCAAGAGAAAATGCTAACCCTGTCCTTCTCACTCAGGGTGGGACCAAATCAGATCTGGGCCATGATAATGTCATTGCTGCCTGGACTGAAAACAATCAGAAAATGATTTACACCACCTTGGAAAATGTATGAGCTTCTTTACTTTTAAATAGTTCCCATACGTTCTCTTCTTTTTAATTACAAAACTAACACAGGCTTCTTGTAAAACAAACAAATAAAAAGAATTCAGTTATATATATAACATATAAATTAACAAGTGAGAGCCCCACCGCCTTTTCGAGGTAACCCGACTTCCTAGTTACCGACTGATAACCCTTTGAGAGGTTTTCTTTCAGCCCTGTGGATGGATTTGCGCATGGCTGTGAGGTTATACTGCACACGTTGATTTAAATACAACATCAGTAGATGTATTGTGCCTTCAATATCACGAGGTATTTCCACAAATATAACCCAATCTGCCTAAAGAACCTGATATTATTTCCAATTTATAAATGAAGAAACAAACTCAGAGAAGATCAGTGGCTTGCCCAATGGTACACAGTTAATTGATCTGGGTCTCAAATCTAATGCTTTTGGCTATAAAGCCTCACACTGGTCACCAGAATTAGGTCTTTCCCATAATTCCTTTCTTGAGGGTAGAATTCCAAGATGCGAACACTCAAATTTCCCAAGTGTGGTGATGGAGGGGGCAAGGGGAACTAGTATAATCACTGAGCCTGAGTCACTTTTGCTCCTCACATATTACAAACATAGATCATATAAGTTGTAGACAGAGTAATCAGTGCAAAGTGAAAACAAACAAGAAAAAACTCAAATTGAAAATATGCAAAGAGAAATGAGAAATTCTGAACCAAATTCTGAAGATTCTGCATCTAGCAGAACAGCCCTTGTTTAACTTGTCTCCAGGGTCCCCTTGGGCCATGAGGGGTTTGGCAAGTCCAGCCTGGGCCCCAGACTCACATCAGCTCAGGCCGGAAGTGGTGGATAATGGCACACAGGGCCAGGCCACTCCGCCAGGATGTGGTCAGGTCCGTGACGTTGACATGCTGGTAGCCCTCAGTCTGCTGCTGACACCAGGTTAAGAGTTTGCTGGGTCGGATGTCTGACTCTGCAGTAGGGAGAGACAGACAGTGGTAAAGCACTCTGGAGAAATCTCAATAGCCCCCCTGGGGATTCCCTCTGACTGCCACCATAGCTGGGGACTAGAAGGAACAGCACCAAGGCAAGGAGCCCTGTCAAGGACATGGCAAGCGGGCAGGATGCTCTGACAGGAGGCATGCTCTCCTGCAGCAATGAGTCCCTAAGACCCCCTCTGGCCAGGCCCGGTAAAAGGCTAGGAACACAGAAGTGAGGACGACGTGGATTCTGCCAATATCTCCTCTACTGGAGAAGACAGACATGGAGGCGGGTGATGATGACACAGCGCAATAACGGAAAAGCAGGGTGCCAGGGGAGCACACGAGGCGGTTTGCCCTGAGTCTGCCAGGGCAGGGGAACTCTCCAAAAAGAGTCACAAAGGAGGCACACTTGAGTTGCCTCTTAAAAAGTGTCTAGCAATTCATCAGACAGAGGAAGGCATTCCAGAAAAACAAAAAGGACTGTGCCATGGCAAAGACTCTAGAAAAACCTGCCACGTTTGTATAAAATGGTTGATTACAGGGGTGGCAGCGGGGGGCATGTGGTGTGTGGAGGGAGGGGAGGAGTGGCTGGAAAGGCCAAACTTGCCTAACGGCAGGAAGGATGCGAGGTCGGGGCAGGCGATGGAAGACAGGTCTTTTAAGCAGGATAGTGACCAAAGCAAAGCCTAAAAGATGCTGGGGAGTTAGTTATTCATTTAATCATTTAATCATTCCTTCCCTCCACCACTGAGCACCGGCCTTGTGTCCAAAACTGTGCTAGGCTCTGGAAGATCCAGAAAAGAGTGGAGCACATGGAGCTTGTTATCTAGCTGGGGAGACAGACTCCCATACTTGAACCAAAAGAAAAAAAGAAGAAAAAAAGCTCCAGTGAAGTAATTCACGTTCACTTCAATGTGTTAAGTGCTCAACACATTAACTTCTTTATGATGATTATACTGTAGGAGTGTCATTTGTTTTACAGAAGAGGAAACTGAAGTACAGAGGAGAGAAGCCTGGCCAAGGTCATAAAGGTCACCGAAGCAGAGCCAGGCTGGCTTTAGGGCCTGTGCTCCCACAGCCATCCAGGAGGCCTCCTCCCTGGATAGCCCCTCCCAGTGGTCCCTGAAGGGTCCCTGAAGGGTCGTTTACCCCTCCTGGAAAGGCCCACAGATCTCCTCACTGAGCCCAGCCTCTCGAGAGGGTATTGGTGCAGCTCCTTAGTGATGTACAAATGCTTCACCTACAAGCAAGAGAAACCACACAGATCACCTACAAGCAAGAGAGACCACATCGCTGCCCACTAGCTTTCTCTAAATTCTAGTCTTGGGGTCTCCAAACCCAACCTGCTCTCTACTTAATGTCAGCCACCCTTTCACTCTACCACTGGACCTTCAGCAAGGGAACTCAGGCCACGTGAGACATAGAGCCATGGATCTCAATCATCTACCCAAATGTGGAAGGACTCAAATGTAAATATATGTCATTGGCTAATTTTAAAAATTCATACAATTCTTGGTGCTATTGACTGAAGAGGTTGGGAGTTGTATGGCTCTGAGTCAATGGGAATGAAAAGGACTAGGACCTTGGATGGAAGACTCAGTATTCAGCCAAGTAGATTATCTGAGAGAGGTATGCTTAGCAACACACACGCGCGGTGACAAACATATGTAAATATATGTACATATGTGGACCTATGCTTACATGTGCTCTAGTTCTCTCTTGTGTGCTAGAGAGCTGCTGACTCTATGTCACTCCTGTGCCTGACTGTATGTCACTCCTGTGGCTCTTTTGGGCCAAGAAACACTGGTGGCCAAGAAACACTGGTGGCCTTGGTCCCAGGGATGAGACAAGATTTTAGGTGACATCCTCCTTCCCACTGGTCAGTGAAGGGTGACTTGGATGGAGCCCCGAGGAAGGACTTACTTGATGGGGCCGGACACAGTTGGAGTTGAGGTTTGGGTACCGCGTCCCGGGGTCCAGCGTGTACTGCTCAAAGTTCTTGTTGATGTTCTCTGGGGTCGTTTGAGGTAACAGCCGGTAAAGACTTTCTCTGGAAGAGGGCAGAGCCCAGGTCAGGGACTGCTCTCGAAGCCCCAGGCCTTTGCCTCCACACCCCAAGCCCACTCCCGCCTGCCCTGCTCTCAAGGGCTTTTAAGATGTGTTTCTATAACCCTTCACTGCAATGCCTGGCCCTCCTGATTCTTGAGATCTGAAAAGTAATGAGAGGTTCAAAGGGGCCGAGAGGAGGCAGGAGGGAATCCGGGAGTCAGGGATGCTGGCCTCCTCCCCCAGACAGAGCTGGCAGCACAGTGACCTGTGGTTTTGCTATAATCACCACTCAGCTATGCTGCCTCCTGTGGCCTGTCTCCCGTGACCACAGACCTCCACACCCAAGACCAGAAAGTCCTGTCCCAAACCCCACAGTTCTGACTTTTCCCAGTTCACCAGCTGTCGCAACCACGTGGCAACAGCAGGGATCTGGGAAGAAGCCCAGGATCTCAGCATTGGAAGAGGCCTGGGTGGTCAGGGAACCCAGCCCCCAACAGGGCAGGACAGACAGATACTCAGCACTTCAAAGGAAATTCCCGCTAAACCTCTTCTGGCTCCCGGCAACTGAGCAGTGCCACCCCAGAGGAAGATTTCTTTTTGGCACCTACTACCTAAGGTCTTGGCCCCCAGAGAAAGTCACTGAAGGAGGTAGATCATGATGGAGAGCTTCCTTGGGGGACTCTGATGAACAAATCAAGCCACATGCGGGAAGGCAGACGAGAGGAGACAGAGGCTCCAGGTTCATCCAGGAGCCGCCTCATGGCCAGCCTCAATCCCCCTCCTGCCTGCACTTCGACGGGGCCCTGCCGCCGATCCTCACCTTTCAGCCAGCAGCTCCAGCGGAGGAGTGCCCTGGTCCCAGCTCTTCACCATCCACGCCGTGTCAAAGGCGGCCAGGAAGCCGCGGGCACAGCCTGTGCCCATGGGCCAAAAGGGCTGCAAGAGAAAACATGCAAATTCCTGTCAATTGTAAGGCCCTCCAGCCTGCTATCCCTTTTGTTCTGCATTTGCCCATTGCCAGGTCCATGCGAGGCACTGAGGGGACAGAGAGGTGACAGGGTAGCCCACCAGGATTCACTACAAATACAAATGTCTGTAGCACAAGCCACGTGCAAAGGGTGCTATGACACAGGAACAACAAATCTGCTGTGGGGCTCAAAAAAGGGCAAATTCTGATCCTGGTGGGGTGGGGGGATGGAAATAGGTAATGCTTCATAAAAGAATTGCATTTATGCTGATTTTAAAGAATGGATAGGATTCTGATCTTGATCTTTTGAGGAATAGAGGGCAAAAAAAAAAAAAATAGTGGGCAAAGGCTTGCTGGTTGGAAAATGACAGCCTGATGGCAGAACAGTTGGTCGGGTTCGGGTATACCAGAGATCGGAGGAGAAGAGTACTGAGAGGTAAACCGGAGAAGTAGGGTACCGAGTGGGGTGCTGAGTGCTCAGCCAAGGAGCTTAGGTTATAGTCCACACACAATGGTGAGTAAAGAAGGATTCACCAAGCTCAGTTCTAATATAACTATTCCATGTGTACCTGAAGTGTGGTTTGAAATTTGATGTTTAACTTGAGATAAATACATAACACTTTTTAGTTAACGCTTAAAGATAAAAATGTATCCCTTCCGAAAGCGTTTATTTAAACTCAGGATCCTAGCATTTGCTGATTTTCTGGGGCCATGGACAGAAACTGGACTTTGGGCCCTCATACCTTTCTTGCATTCTACACAATCTCCACATTGAAAGGCCACAAAGACCCATCTACACGAGGAAGACATCCTGGCCCAGCCGAGAGCTCACATGCTCTGAGCAGGACGGCCGTGAAGTCCAGACCAGGGCCACCTAATTTTGTACTTTGACAAAGAAGTCAGCCCAGAAGAACCCCAATGTTCTCTTGCCATTATATGGACAGACTGTCCCCTCTGAATGGATTGAAAGGGTAGGCTCCAAGGCCAGGATAGGCCTGGCAGAGTCCTGCTAATGGACTGAGGGTCTGTCCTCTCCTCAACTGCATGACAACAGATGCTGCCAGACAAAACAAATTCAGGGACCTGTCCTTCTAACAGGAGTGAGGGGGCTCAAAATGCAGGCCGTACCTCAAGCAAGCTGTCGCCCACCAGGGCCACGAGCAGCTGGTGTGACTGACGCTCACGCACCAGGGCCGCATTCTCTGAGGCGTACATGGAGGTGAAGTCGAACATGGCCACGTCGGGCTGCCCGTAATGGTTCATGGCAAAGTCTAAAGATGGCAGCTGGTAATTGGTGGCAAAGTCTGCAGCTTCACGGGCGTAAGAAAGCAGGTTATCCTGGTTCACATTCTCTGCACACAGCAGCATCTCTGTATCAATGTAGTCCTGCAGGAGAATAGGAGCAAAGTGCAAGGATTCATACCCACTTCTTCACAGAAGGATTTGCAATGGGTTTGTACAGTGAGACTAATCAAAACGGAAACAGAATATCAGGGCCAAGGGAATTAAGAGAACCCAAATCGGCCATCTGTGAGGACCAACAGAGTTCTGATTAAGCATCGAATTTGGCTTTGTGATTCCTGGCATCACGGACAAAAGGGAAATGGGATTGATATATTACAGGACTCTCCATATCAGAAAGAAGGAAGCATAGAAATTCCTTAGAGGAGGCAATGTTTTCCTGGCACCAAATTCTAAAAGAACCGCCTCACGAAGAGATTTCAACAGAGAACACTGTGTTGTAATGAACAACGTACTCTGAAATGGTCTTGCAGCAAACGCATATGCATATTTCATATGGCTGGTTTCCATGATAACTTCAGTAAAATTAAAAGACAAAAGAGCAAATAAAAGAGTGATTTTATAATCGACTAAGCTAAGCGAATGCGGTCTAGATACACTATTTAATGGTCAAACAAGACCAGAAAAGAAATGGACACTTGACATAACTCAAACTTTCTCTGCAGAATCAGTTACCCTTCTTCTTGATGGGCTGAGGGCTACTCAGGGCCCTGCTTTGCTCTCACCGTGTTAATTGCTGTAGAGGACTAGGCTGCTCATCCAGCAGGGACCCTGGCAGTAAACTGTAGGATGCCTGTCTCCCAGAGTCAAACCTGTTCATTGTGTGGCTAAAGAAACTAAAGACTATCTTTCTCAAGAGGTGACACAGAAGGTTCACATCCTGGGGAAGGGAGACAGGGACTAGTGTATATAGGTGTAGGACCAACACAGGCCTTGGGGTCATCAAGAGCAACAGGTCAAATTCCACCTCTGCTATTTAATGACTGTGTAAATTTGGGCAAATTATTGAACTCTCCTAACTTTCCATTTTCTTTCTTTCTTTCTTTTTTCCTATTTTCTTACATAAGAAATGGAAATAACAAAATCTAGTTCACAGAGCCATATGAGGACCAAATGAGACTGTTATAAAATCCCCAGCCTGATGCCTGGCACATAGGAAGTACTCAATGAATGGGAATTCTTGTCCCTAATAATAATGATGGCACGAAACACAGCATATGGTGAAGTACATTCTGGACCCATTCGAGATGCCAGCAAGAGCATTTACAAAGGTCTAAGAAGGCGCAGCCTCATCTCCAAACAGAGCGACCGACCGGGTCATTTTCCCCTATAGCCATGATTTCAAATAACTTGTTCCAGGAATTCTAATATTTTCATACCCAAACCACATCACCCAAATTGCACCCAGCATTGGCCCAAGAGCCTTCTGTCAGGTCACGGTGCCCAGGCTGGATGGGGCTCCTGTTATTTGCTTTCTTTTCTCATACCTGTTTCTACAGTAACTTGATCATTTTCCTCCCTTGAAGTGTGGAGATGAGATGGGGAAGAGTGAATGGACAAGCCTCAAAAATCCCCCTCTTCAAAACATGCTGTAAGCACCCCTGAAGTAGATCAGGTGGCCAGTGAATGTGGACACAGGAAGAATAGTTACCTCAAATATTGAGCTAGAAAGAGGCTGTAAACCACAAGCAAAAGTCAGACAGTGCTTGTTTAATGCTTCAAATGAGGGTGGACTCAGCCTCAGGAGACATCTATGATGTGTCTCCTCTTCACATTCTTGGCGACCAAGCTCTCATTGTGGCAAGAACAAGCCTGCTGTGTTCAAGAACCCTAGCCTGCATATACTGGGCTAGCAGAGGCAGGGGCCTGCGGGTGGGCTACCGTCCTTGTGGGGAAGGGCAAGATGGACACAGCTGGGAGCCCAGGTGCAGTTTCTTGAGGAGAAACTTTCCTTTCTCTTCAGTAGCCA